GTTTTTAAGTAAAATAATTAATCTACAATAGCTAGGTTGACTAAGTTCTTAATTGGACAATAAATACAATTTATAAAATATATTATTTTATTTTTTATTAAAATATTTAAGTTCCAATAATTCATCCACTATTTTAATAAAAAAAAAACCTTTCTTTTCGGCAAAGATGGATTATTATGCATAATAAAGATAGCTAAGCTTTAAGCCTTTACTTAGTGAGTCAACAATTTTTAATCCAAAATCAATAGTAAACTAAGTCTTGAACTATAACCCTCATTGGAAGATACAAGAATTGTATCATACACATAATCCGAATGTTGAGTTTTTCACACAGTTGGCACATTATGGCCTTGCGCATGATCTTGGTTTTCATGGATGATTTAGAAAGTTGCCCATCTAATTTTCATAGAAGGGGCCTCACTTCGATACCTTTATAGGTGAAATTTGTTAAAAGTACTCCCATAACTAAGATATCCCACTCAATGAATTACAAATTTCATTAAGAGTATATAACTCAACCCTTAATTTGTTATGGGATAGATGCATCCTCACCTTAAGAATGAGATTGGAAATTTTTTCTATTAAATATTGATGTATCTTTCAACAACGACTTCTCTATAATTCGTTTTTTCATTCAAAACCCAATTCTCAAAATTTAGGTTGGGTATCTTCATAGAAAGTTCTACATTATTAGGCTTGAATCTCATTCCCCTCGATGAGCACTAGACCTTGAATTGTGATCATGAATTTTCCTCCAACATTTCTCTTTACCAAAGGCCTAGTTGGTGGTCAAGTGGGTAATGAAGAGATTTAACTCTCTCTTTTTTTTCCTCACTTTTTCATATCAACCCACATGTCTACTAGCTCATAAAATTTGTATTTATATTTCTCAAATTCTCAATTCATGATACCACAATTTTTTATAGGATTTTTCTAACTTGTGCCCTTTTTGCAATAAATTTATATAGGAAAATGTAAAAATAGACATTAATTTTAGAGTCAATGCCACATAGATAAATTTAATTAGACAGTTGATAAATTAAATGCTACTTTTTATTTTTTCAATACTCTTAACATGTGCTCTTAGGGCACAAGTTAGAAAAACTCTTTTTGATATTATATCGAGCTAGTGAACCACTGTTTTCTTTCAATATATGTAGAGACATGTATTTAAGAATTTTTTAACCCCAACACCATTGTGCGTTGTTGTACAATAGGAATGTCTATCGTGGCATATCCCTTCTATTCAAGTAAAGTGCTTTATTCTTTTTCATTATACACCATTATACCATAATTGTATAATAGGAGTACATATCACATTCGCTCACTTAAATACCGTTATACCTTACTGTATAATAAGAATGTTATACAAAATTTCAATTAGACACCATTGGTCTCATGACCAATAATAATACATAGAGATATCACAATCCCCCACATTGAGAGCATCTCAAACATGTGATTATCACATATCTCAAATAATTGAGTTCATGAAGAAACTCATTTTCTTACAAGATTTCATAAGAGCATACTATCTCATCTTACATGTATCGCCTCACATGGTTCCTCAGTCATGTAAGCTTAAAAAGTTTAGCTTATGTTTCCCGAATATATCAACCCAAATTTCATGTCCATTATTACCAAAATAATCACATGCATGGTTTTAAAACCCGGCTCGGACCTGGGCATAAAAAGGGGCCGGTTTCATACATTGGCCCGTTTTGAAGGTTAACCCATTCAAACCCAGTTAACCCGTTAAACCCGGCCCAAATACTCAGCCCGTTCCACCTGCCAGTTGAACTTGCCATCTCTTTTTTTAAATTTTTATTTTTATTTTATGTGGTTTACCTATTTTATCCTATCTTTTTAATGATATTACATAAAAAACCTTAACTTTACACTTTAATTAAATTAAAAACCCTAATAAGCAGGGACTATTATGTAAAAACAACATGGGAGAGCAAAATTAGAAAGCAGAACAGAAGTAGAAGTGCA